GAGGCGTTCAAGGAGTTTTTGCAATTCTTCTACCTTGGAACGGTAAAATTGACGGCGGACAATGCGGCTGGTGTTTGGAACCTGGGTAAACAATACATGGTCGACGATTGTAGCATGGCTAGTTCGAATTTCTCTGAGCAAACACTTACATTGGACAACATGTGCTGGGGATATGAACTGGCCATTCTCTTCGAACAAGATCGTTTGATGAAGTTCTGTGAACAGAAAATCAGCGAGAACCCGAAAGAAATATTCAAGTCGAATGGCTTTCTGACATGTGGATCAAATGTCTTGGCTCGCATCCTACAGTTGGAATCACTGAACTGTGATGAATCGGTGGTGTTCGATGGATGTGTGGCATGGGCTAAAGCTGCCTGCATTCAGAAGGGATTGGACGAAACGAATATGCAGAATCTACGCAATCAGTTGGGTGACCTGTTCTACGAGATCCGTTTTGGCGATATGACGGCCGAAAAATTCTTCATGCGTTATCGTGCATATGAAAAAATGTTTTCAACAGAGGAGTGCAAAGATATCTTCGGAATGATCGCATCAATGGATTATCAACCACCGAAATTCAATCGGAATGCACGCATGGCGGTCCTAAAGCTGAACAAAAACACTGATCAGCTCATTTGTGATCGAATTGACCCAACTTGCTTGGACCACAAAATATATCCTTTTCAAAATTCGCGAGATGATACTGTTTTTTCATCCAATTGTGCACTACTTCTGAAAGCAATTCAATGTAATGAACTGTTTCATTCCGAATTTGAATGTAATAAATCTACATCAAATGCAGCACATTCTACAAATACCATACCAGCTGAAATGAATGTGATCGAACTTTCAAATGAACGTTGTAATGGGGAAAGGAATGGAAGGTACATTGGAAACAACAATAAGATAATTTATGATGCACAAGTGATTCTTCATTCATCGCATGGAACCATTGTCCACCTTTCAACACCAATCGTCATTCGACCAGATCTGAAGTATAATATTACTTTTAAATTTAATTTTGATGGCTGCTACACTTTGATGACCATGAAGCCCAAGGTACAAATGGAACAAGGCGTTGAAATTGAATTCCACAAGATGAATGCATGGTATCATTTAAGTCAAGGAAATTCAATTCGTTCAAATAGAATCCGTACAACTGTTGATCAAGGACTAGTCAAACAATTGATCTTCGTGAAATCTGAAGAATAAAGCTTCCATTTTTTTAATATTCGCCTCATGCATACATAAAAATCGAAATCATAACATCGATAATTCAACATTGGAATTTGTCTCATTTTTTTCCAAAATAGAAAACGAAACTACCATTGACATGTTAACAAATTTCAAGACACAAATACATAAAATAAACAAAAACACAATCTTTCCTTTTTGTCATAAATATATTTAAAGCAACAATAAATTCCATATTTTCAAAGCGACTATTCATTTATTAGAACAAAATTCAGTGAATTTACTCAAGGAATTTAAATTCCCAATCAAATACCTACAAATTACGCTTTTTCTCTTGCACTGACTGTCGAGACAAATGTTGTTCTGCCAAAAATGTTCAACGAACAGTTCACTTTCGTTTCATATTCACACCTGACTAAGAAAATGTTTGTTTATTAACCACATCATTTACATTTTTGGTCACTTCAATTTCATCTGAAATTGAAATGTGAAAATGGTGTAGTTAATAGATAAAACCTTTTCTTTGTCAGGTGAT